GGATTGCCGGAGTTCGAAGAGACGGCGCCGGATGGATTTGATCCGGCGAATCCTTACAAGGATCCAGTGGCGATGGTTGAGATGAGAGAGCACATCGTTCGAGAGAAGTGGATCCAAATCGAGAAGGCTAAGATCTTGCGTGAGAAGGTCAAATGGTGTTATCGCGTCGAAGGTGTTAACCATTACCAGAAATGTCGTCATCTTGTTCAGCAGTATCTCGATTCCACTCGCGGTGTTGGTTGGGGAAAAGACCATCGTCCTATCTCGCTTCACGGTGAGGTTTTTTTCTTTGTTCATCTGTTTTCTGGTAGATTCGATTGCTTAAACGTTCAATTCGATCCTTGGTCGGTTTTTTTCTCAATCGGTTACTGAATTAGTCATTTTCTTAACTGGTGTACTCATATTTGCTTAGCTAATGATTGACATGTGCAAAATCATTCATGGAGATTGGTCTGAAGCTAAAATTTAGCTCTTGATTCTTGATTTGGTTGATGAATGGATTGTCATGTTGAAGCTTTTTAGTGATGTTAATGGTTTTTTTTGGTACAGGCCCCAAGCCTGAGGCTGTTGAAGTTGAAGCTGAATAATGCTTTGCGCCTCAGCAATCTGAGGTGAGTGACTGGGTTATGGTTCCTGCTTCTAGAAGCATTCGTTTTCTTATAATTTCTGTTTGATAAGCTAATAGTAAACGTAAGACAAATGTGGCATTCTAGATTTGATTGAGCTGATGATGGTGATGGTTTAGGGATTAGCTTAGGTTTCTTCAGATATGGAACTTTAAGAGCCTTCATACTTGTATTTCCTAGAGTATGTTTCCAGTTAATCAAAGGAAAGTATATTTGATCTTTGTTTGTTAGTTCAGTTAAGTGATTAGTAACCATTTGTATAAGCTGTGACGAAAGGAACTAGTGTCCTAAGTGTGAGTATCTCTTAAACCACTGCTTCATAAGAGTAGCGTGCCCACCAATTTACATATAATGAATCCCGTGCAATTGAGGTTTTTAAGTTGATAAAATTCACTGATGAGATGTTGGAGTAGCTCTAAGTTGAGGTATTTAGGAATGCCCTGGTGTTTAATAGCTATATTCTCATAATCCACCTCAACGGTAATCCTAGCAATGAGTGTGTATTATGATAATCTGAGAGATGAAACATGTTTTGGACCCAACTCGTGGAAACTTCTGTCAAGTGTTCTAATTTAGGTGTCAATGTGTATAAACTATGGCAATCGTTACTGCATTAGATTATTTGTATTGGTTCTTGTTCACAACGGCTACTGGTTTCACTTAGATTACGACCTTACTGATCCGAATGTTCTTTTATGTTTTGCTTCAGTGCTGCAGGTGACCAAGCTATACAGGACATGAAATGGTCTTCGGACTATGCGCATTTACTCTTGTTTTGTTTAGAAACATGTCAGTTTTTTGGACTGACGGATTCATGTAAGGGTTTTACGAGCTTGAGTTTATGTATTGAATCTACTACACTCAACATCGGTCCCTCATTGTCATAAACCAAATAAGTCCTTTTTTCTCTGTCTCTCTTCATTACCATTAGTTTTACTTTCACCTTCTTGTCAAATATGAATCACAGGATAAACAAAATAAACCATACATGGATGAGTTCCAATTCCAAATTCAACATAGCACAGTTGCTATAAAAAAAAAAAAAAAATCAGAGTAATTTCTCAGGAAAACAGTCTTGTCTTCCATGTCTTATTCTTCAAATATGAGAGCTTATTCTAACTTAACTCAGTTCTCTTCACCACCACCAAAGAGCTTCATCTTAGATAATGGAGTTCTCAAGTACCCTTCTACTTCAAATTTCTTCGGAGAAAGCTCTCTGTATTTTGCAAACTGTTCCTTAGCTTCGAAGTTCTTGTCAAGCAAACTATAGATCATACCTCGACAGAAATACGGTCGGAAATCCTTTGGATCCTCTTTCGTCAGCTCTTCGTAGCTCTTCAATGCTTCATCCACATTCTTCTGCAAGAACTGTATCTGCGCAATGATCAATCTCACGTCTCTTATTTCCTTCACCATATTCTCGGATTCAGCTATAGCCAACGCATCTTCCAGCCTCTGCAACACTGCAGCTCCTTCCCCTGACCGGTCCATGAGCAATGCGTTCTCGAATAAAGCCTCGAATGATAATGGGTTTCTTTTGAGAATTTCCTCGAACACTTGGCGTGCGTTTTCCGAACGACCCATCTCTCCCAATAGCCTCGCCATTAAGAACTTCCACTCTGTTTCCTCTGGTTGTGCAGCTACTAGTTGCTCTAAAAGCTTGAGAGCTTCTTCGTCTTCTCCGTTCTCTAGCTTCTGCTGCAAGAGTGATCTCAGCGTCTGAACCGCCTCAGGGGTGGAGTCTAGAAGCTCATACAATGGCGAATTGGGTTCGAACTCAGACTGTTGTTTCTTCTCTTCTTTCACTTCCTCCACTGTTTCTTCAGTGGTTGTAACCGGAGATTCCGCTTTCACCGGTAAAGTTGAGAATTTCCCGGTCATTGAAACAGCAGCTCCGATTAGAATCGCTGATTTAGCAAAAGATTTAAGGTAATCAGGAAAAAAATAACCTGAGCCATTCTGATTCGAGCTAGCCTTAACATAAACAAGATCGCGACGAGGAACCATAGTTCCGGCGACCGGAGGCGCTTTGACGGCGACGGAAGATGAAATCAACGAAGAAGAAGCTGAGAGAGACGAAAACATGGCTTTATTGTGTCGTATCAATGGCTCCAAGAGAATCGAAATCAAAATCGAAAGAGAAGACACAGCGATTTCGGATGAACAAGGCGCTAACTACAACTTTATTCACCAGTTTCACCAAACACGTGGAAAATGTCGGAGATGAAAGTGTAATTGGGCTTGATTTTATCTAATGGGCCTTAAAATAGTTGGGCTTTTGACATATCAGTTTTGTTTTCTGTTAAGACAGATCTCTCCGGCGAAACTTTTAGACAGCGATACGGAAGAATCAGATCAACGCATGCGACCAAGAAGCGAGCAAGCAGAAGAAAAGAGATAAGCTTTCTTCACCGATACATCAGTATGTTTCATAAATTTCATG